CCTCTGGGTTTCTGGAATTTATACTTTGGTGAGATTTATACTCAGAGTGTGGTGGAGTCTCCTTCTTTGGATGTCTTTAAGCAGAGGCTGCATGGCCATCTGTCAAGGATGCTTTGATTTTGAGTTCCTGCATGGCAGGGGGTTGGACTGAATGGCCCTTGTGGTCTCTTCCAACTCTATGATTCTATGAGGTGCTTTGGCTAGAGAGTTCTAGTTCAGGACAGTGTACTAGCACAATTCAAAGTAGTGGTCTGTGAGCTGGTGCCAGTCTTTTCAAGTTTCCAGCACAGAAAGTGGTTGTGATAATGTGTCTATGTGTGTATGTGCTTTCATGATGTCTATCCACTTGTCCAAAGAGCTGTTCGACCGTGGAACTCGCTGCCTTGGAGAGTGGTGGAGTCTCCTTCTCTGGATGTTTTGAAACAGAGGCTGGATGGCAGGGTGTTGTACTGGATGACCTTTGCGATCTCTTCCAATTCTATAATTCTGTGATTCAAACTCATGGCGATCCCATGAATTTTATAGGGTTTTCTTAGGTGAGGAATCCTCGGAGGTGCTTTTGCTGGTTCCTTCTTCTGAAACTGAACCTACAACACCTGGTATTCATTTGGAAGTCTCTCATCCAAGTATAAGAAGGGATGACCTTGCAAGCTTCCACAATCAGACAAGATCTGGTGCCTTTAGGGTATTTAATGTGGCACAAATATGGTCCCAATCCCTGTCACATTGGGTTTGGGGGGAGGAATTGCTGGTCCACCAGTTAATTTGAGATGCAGTGGCTCTGAGCTCTACCAGCAAAGAATTCTTTTTTACTTTCCAGACTACAAATCTGAAGAGTCCACATAAGGTGTATACCAGTTAAAGTGGTTTGCCGTTGTTTGAATCATAGGATCATGGAGTTGGAAGAGACCTCAAGGTCCATCAAGTCTGACCTCCTGCCATGCAGGAACACACAATCAAAGTACTCCCGACAGATGGCCATCCAGTCTCTGTTTAAAAGACTCCAAAGGAGACTCCCATGTTAATGTTGATGTTAACTTACGATGGTGCTCCCATTGTGTTCTTCAGAGGAGTTTGCCATTTTCTTCGTCTTAGGATGAAAGAAATGTGCCTTACACAAAGTCACCCAATGGATTTCCATGGCTAAGCAGGGATTTGAACCCTCGTCTCCCAGTGTCCTAGTCCAACATTCAAACCATTGCATCATTTTGTCTTGTTAAGTGTTATCAAAGTGCTATAAGAGTGCAGTCTAGATGCACAAATGATTACAGGGAATCATATATCTCCATCTCTTTTTACACCAGGTACTGTTTAACTTTTCTGTTTCTGTTCAGGTTTGTAGATGAGTGTCCCTGTTAAGGCCTTTGACCCATAGTTTTGGGGCTGTGCATTTTTTTTAATGAAATTGTGTTTGGTGACTATGAATGATGCATTTGAGAGTGTGCTTTTAACGCATCGGCTATTATGTTTTATTTATGCATTTGATTTTCTTGTAGTATGCTCTTCTAAAATGCTATGTGGAAATCTTTTAAATAAATAAAAGCACAATGTAGAGTGTGCAAAGTAATTTTCATAAATTAGTGGTTTACAAGTACCCTTTAGCTAGGTATTATTGCTGTGCTGCAGACAGAGGTTACAGACAGAGAAAACATCTCCCTTAAGGCAGAGCAACCCTCATATGTGCTTACTTGAAAATCCCAAAGTGTTCAGTAGAGTTTACTCCATAGGAAATGTATTTAGACCTCAGCATGCCACCAAGGAATTTCTAGTGAACCTTAAATTTTAGGGTCATGCTTTTAGGTAACAAGTGAGGTGAGATCTGAGCGGAACTTGGTAAAGTTGCTTTTTTGGACTGCAGCTCTCTGAGTGTCCATGGAGTATTTGTGTGGGTTGTTGTTGTGTGCCTTCAAGTCACTTCTGATTTATGGTGATCTGAAGGTGACCCTACAATGGGGTTTTCTTGGCAAGATTTGTTCGGAGTGGAGTTTGCCTTTTGCTTTCCTCTGAGGCTGAGAGAGTGTGACTTGCCCAAGGTCACCTAGTAGGTTTGCATGGCTGAGCAGGGATTCAAAGTCATACTTCACCATTTAAACCATGCGGTTCAGTGGAGCCTATGTCTAAAACAGGGGTTCTTAACCAAAGGATTCCTGGAAGGATTTCAGAGGGTCTGTGAACTTGGATACGGGAAAGAAGTATCTTTATTTTCCCTAGCTTCTCTAACAGAAATGTACTGTTTTCTTCAATTATGGCTGCAGGCAAATAGTGTCAGCAGTTCCTGCGACTTTGTCACTAATCCAAATCACAGCTATTTTCATATTGTATCACTGTTATTTCAGATAATTTGACATACTGATGATGGTTGTCACTACTTCAGAAGTACTGTAGTTATTCAACTTGCCTCTGGAGAAAGGGGTAAAAAGCCTGTGGCATAGACATTGTTCTGAGAAGCGATCCATAGGCTTCACCAGGCTGCCCAAGAAGTCCATGGCACAGACAAGGTTAAGAACTCTAGAGCTGCATCTGCACCACAGAAACAATCTGGTTTGACACTGCTTTTACTGCCATGGCTCAATGCTATGGAATTTTGGAAATTATAGCTTGTTGCAGCACCAGAGCAGAGCAAAGCTCCAGTGCCACAACAAACTACAATTCCCAGAATTCCATAGCATTGAACCATGGCAGTAAAAGTGGTGCCAAACTGGATTATTTCTGCAGCACAGATGCAGCCTCGATCTAAATGTTAAGCTCTTTCTTGAAGTAATGTGCGGACACCACCTTTTACACCAATAGGGCGATTGTTATTAGTGATATTTGGATTTGGCGGCTTGTGAACAGAACTTTTTCTCAACTGTCTTTCTTAATCATTCTCTTCTTCATCATCAAGGTGGCGTGCAATTGAAAATGATTGCAATATACCTAGAAACATGCAAAAAGTTAACCTTAAAAGAGAATTAAACTATTAACCATATTAAAACAATTTAAAACATACCACTTTATATATATATTTAAAAAGAAACAATTGAAGCAGTACATTTTAAAACAACGTAACACCCTCTTACAGCATTTCCTTAAAAAGTTATAAAAACCTGATTTAGTAGTAGGAATCTTTGTCTGCTGATGGAAGGACAAAGCGTGGCTCATGCTACCCTCCCAAAGAAACTACTAACTGTAACTGTGAAGATGGTAGAACTGAAAAAAAAATGTTTGGTAATGTTTGGAGGGCAGTAGAAAAAGAAAAAGACCATATACAGATAGGTCCAGTCAAGGAGGCCATAGCCTTGAGTTTGCAAGACCTGAGCAGGGCTGAAGACAGGTTAACTTGAAGGTTTCTCATTCATCGGGATTCAAAGTCAACTGGAAGACAGCTAACAGCAACAGCAATTTTGCAACACAGAATGAGGGTTTAAAAACAAATAGTGTTTCTCCAAGAGGTACTTCAAGGAGTAATGTATCAGAGCTGTATTTTCCTGTCCTTGTAACACAAATATTGCCATACAAGCTATCCTTCTGATCCCAGCAGCTGACCAAGCGAGAAGAACTTTTAAGCCTCTTCAGGAATTATTTTCCAAGTTCTGTAGCAGCACTTAAATTTATTTTACCTTTCTAAAGGCAGGCAGTCGATGCTGTAGGAAATCTACACATTGTCCTTATGGGATGTTCTGGTATTCAATGGCCAGCTTATTTAAATACTTGCTAAGCAGAGTAGATTAGAAAGAAAGGAGATCTATACTTGGTTTGGTATTGCCTATTCCTCTTCTGCGTTTGTTTGTTTGCGGGGTGTGTGAGAGAGAAGAACAAAAGTGTTCCTGATAGTAATTCTTTGTTACTGTGAACATTGCCAAGTTCCGCTTATGTTTACAGCCTTCTTGGATCTTTCCCTTTCCACTTGCTTTGTTTGGCTGTGCTGGTTGGGCCTGATAGGATTTGTAGTCCCCAACATCCAGAGGTCACTACTTTTGGAAAGGCTGCATCATACAGAACCATTAAGAAGGATCTGGAATGTATGGCTCTCAAGGTTGTTGGACTACAACTCCCATTGTTGGCTATGATGGCTAGGGGCTGATGGGAGTTGGATACCAAAGACATTTGGAAGACCATTCCCACCCCTGCTGTAAAGTATGTCAGTTTGGAATCAGAGTCCGTAAGATATGGGTAACAATTTGGATCTGTGTATAGTAGCTGATCTTGGTCAGTTATTCACTCCCAACCTAGCCTGCTTTACTGGACTGTTGTCTTAATAAAATGAAGTTTGAAGAATCAGGTAGGGTCACCCAAGTCCCTTGGAGTTTGTTTTAAGGGTCAAAATAAGCCCATGAATGAAAATATTGCATTAAGATTTATAGAGCAGGAAGATTTGAATTAAGGGGTTTTCTAGTTCATGTAGCTCATTTTCACACAGGAGGCTTACATTCTGCCTAGAGGCTCTGTTTACTATCTATGCAAACTATGTTAACAGCTGACATTAATGCAGCAGAGGACATTTGTAATGCAAATTGGCATTTTCACACCCGCTGCCATTATCGGTTGGAGAGAATTCACTGTGGACAGTTAAAAATTTAATGATGTTTCCCCCTTGGATTTGTTTTTGAGACAGCTCCTTTAAAAAAGCAAAAGAATTGCTCTCATCTAGTTTTATATCTTTTTTGGTATAGGCATAGACCTGCCTCCTACCAGTAACTGGTATAATTACAGCACTGGGCTCTGTATTTGAAGGTTCACAGTGGAAAAACACCTTAGATGCTTGATCATGTGCAGAGTGCCCTTCCAGGCCTGCATGTCCAGGATTATGGATAGTGGCAAGCAAGGTGTGATGGCTTGATGGAGCATGTTTGGTACCTTGTCATGGCTTTTCTAAACTGGCATGCAACTAATGCCCATCTACAGCTGATAATATGTTGTGAGCAAATGTGTACACTTATGGAAAGTCTGTGTCTGTATTTATTTGTGAGAATAATGAAACAACACTCATCTTTCTTTTTACTTAAATGTACTGGTAGTACACCTGTGTGGTGTAATGGTGTGAGCATTGGACTACAACTCTAGAGATCATGGTTCAAGTCCAGGCTTGGCTGTGAAA